AGTTTGTGCAAGTTGAAACCGCAAAAACGGACAGGCTTGCCTTCCTCAGCAGACTCTGGTTCAGAGGTAGACCAGATTGACCGAATCTCCCTCACCAGCCTTTCCTTGACCGGCTCCTCCGCTGTGATGAGCATATCGTCAACATAAATACCGAGCAAACCGTGAAGCACAGGTTCCGACTCTGTGTTCACGTCAACTCCCCCCGATAGCGGTTCGCTAACGATCTTCCACAAATTGCTGTCCGCGACGCATTGCTTCAAGGAGAACCGTCGGCCGCAGTCTTCCCAAGTATGCTGTCGAAGCAACATGTCACGATGGGAAGACCATCGCCGCGGGGCTTCCGCGAGACCGTAGAGTGCTTTTAGGACAAGCCACTTTTCAGATTCTTCCACGAGCCCAGACTTACTAGGACCCGTGGTGGAGTGACTACCACAATCTTGACCTTGTTGCCTTGCACGCTTTTGAGCTTTCTGACCAACATGTCAAAGTCAAGACGACCCGAACTCAAATCCCCGGGAGGCAACACAGCCTGGCCTTGGCGATCTTGATACAGTGGGGCTCCCAGAAAGGCGGTTTTGATGTCCAGGGTAGCGTTACCCCAACCCTTGATTGCCGCGACACTAGTCTGAAGTCGCACACTGACCCCATCAACACCTCCGGCGTAGAGGTCCTGAGACCTCGTACTGCCCTTCGCAGCATCCTCTACAGGGGGTTCACCCTCTAGGAAGTTCCTGTATCCAACTATCCTAGCCCTAAGCCTGTTCGTGATTGGCTTCTGGGTGTACACACCCTTCGCGGGAATTACCGACACCTCAGCAAGCTCCTCCAAACGTTTAAGCTCCTCGGGACCAATAGCCCACACAGCCCTGTGCAAGTCTTTCAAGGCAACAACTTCGTCAGTCAGCGGCTGCCTCCACTGTTCAAGATTTTTCCAGACCTCAGCCTGGGAAACAATTCTCGTCTGGAGAAGCGCGCCCGGCACTGCACATGCTCCTTTTTCTACAATCTCAGGTGTTTCAAGCCCAAAGTCTGGATGCAAGCTCGGCGGGGACTCCCCCGGAACCAAGCCGTCACCAAGCACAAACGTAGAATCACAAGCAGGACCCAACCCAGACGAAGGATCATGATCAACTTCCTGTGAGGATTCAGCTGGAACCTTGATCGCCCGCACCTGAGGCAGGCTTGTTTTTTCAACCTCACACCATGCTTGTTCAAGCTCACGCTCAACAGACGCCAACTTATGCAACGCAAACTTGCAACGAACAAGCTCAAGCTCATGCTCACAACCATCCTGCTCCTGCAACAAACTGGCGATCCTCAAGTCTTCTTGCAACTCCGCGACCAAGCATGGCGTCACGTTTGTTAGTCCCTGCCTCAACTCCTCAATCAACGCCTTCTCCTCTTCACGCACAAGCTGCAACAAGCGAGCAACTCTCTGGTCTAAATCCTTCGGCTCCCCTGTGCCTTCCCACTCCCCCTCAGAGGAATCCTCCTCTGAGTCAGTGCTGATGTCAAAATATTGTGGGTCTCGGCCGATCTGCGCCACAAGCTTCGGACTCTTAGGCTGAGACACGACCTCAGACGGCAGCGGAAAGCCCAATTCTTGAAGAGTCTGCATGTCTTGATGTTTGCACCTATGTAGGCACCTGGGGGTGTAAGCCACAACAACAATGCGATCACCATCGGCTGCTTCTATAGCATGTCGTCTTCGAGAATCAAACCACACAGCCTTCTCATCCCCACCTTGAAAAGTACCCCAAAAGCCATCCCATTGAACCAAATCCTGAGACCCTGAATCCCCTTGCTCCTCAATCCACAGCCTACCTCCACCAAAGCGGCTGATAGGGACCAACCAATTCTTTGTGTTCTTCATGTTCCTATCGCTGTGCGGGCCAGCTTGCATACCCCAGGTGACCCTCAAGGCCGCCCAAGAGTTGTGACCGTCCTGTGGAGAAGCCAAACAGCTAAGATACCGGTTTAAGAGCTTGACCATGTTGGGCATGAATTTTGTACGATTCGTGAGACCTACTTTGTTTCCATACACAAAAAACCCCAAAGTCCAAGCCCTAGCTCCTACACCCTTAGCGGCAACATCCACGGCTCGAGATTTCGCCTTAAAGTCTTGAAGAGAACGTCGTAAGATGCTCTCTACTTCTTCCCGCTTGGGAGGCCCATCTTGCAAAAGCAAATGCTGGCAATACCTTTCTGTTTGCACAGGTGTCCAGCAATCCAAGCCAAGAAGAAGATCCTTTTCACTTTGAGACAAGACAGCATGGACTGGAGGACTACCTAAAACCTCATAACGGTCTGGAGACTGTCTTTGAATAGGCATGACTCGAACATCCGCGGAGCTACCAACTGGCGCTGAAGCATCCAAAGCCCCGTCTTCTCCCTCAGGGGAATCAATCACCCCCGCTCCACCCCCATCATCTTCACAAACACCATCTCCCATGGCATCATCACAAGCACCATCACGATCCAAAAAAGGCCGTATCACCAGCATCTCCGCCCGATAAATCACCATTTTTTCCACCCGACTCCCCCCACGGCGACAAGCCGTGTGGATGAAGCACCCCTGGACTCTTACCTACAACCCTTCTTCCAGGAGCAGGCAGATCTTCAAGATCCTCAACATGTGCAGTGCCAACAAACCTGACTGGCTCTTTGACATGGGTGTACACTACAGGTGCCACATACAGCTTGGACTCTCCTTGATCCTGAACACTAATGACCGTAGCATTTGGAACCCGAACTGAAGGCGCCACAGCCACGCCCTGAAGAGCCTTGCTGCTCCAAGGTGTTTTTCGTGACCACTCTCGCTTCTTGACTGTAACCACCGTGCCTGAAGGAACTAAAGCCCTTTTTGGAGGTTCCGCTCCAAGCTTTGCGAGCCCCTGTCGAAGCTTCTGCTCCCCCCACTGACGGGCCAAATGCGGCCAAGAATCTGCTGAAAACCCACTTTGAATCATAAGACCCCGAATACCAGCCTTACATCTACCTACCACACCCTCAACCCGACCATTGCTCTTGGGATCGGACGGTGCGCTGGCAGTCAAGGCGATATCCCTTGAGAGAGCCCACTTCTCAAGCAGAGAATTGGCAAACTCCCGACCGGAGTCTGAATGAATGCGCCTCACGGTGTAATTCAACAACCGAATCCTAGTGTAGATACGTTGCAACCCGCGAAGAGTGACCGAAGCCCGTTTACTGGAAATTGGCTCCACAAACGCAAGAGGAACAACCTCCACAGGTTCTGTAAGGGTAGCTATGGTAGCCTTCCATCTATCATTCCATCGCTGAGCTCGCGCTTTCCAATCAGGATCTAGTTCCAAAGAGACTTCCTCCTCCTCTGGAGGTGTTTCAACCTGAAAAGGATCATCGGCATCAGCAGGAACGGGTCCCTCAGCGTCATCATCAGCCCACTCCGCAGGGATCGGGTGATCTGAGGTTTCATCCCCTTCAACCAAAGGTTGAGGCCTACCCTTCCGAAACAACGGAACACCAAGAACTCCTATCAGCAAATGTCTAGCCTTCATGCAAGTGGAACAGGCGTGTGTTCGCACGCTGTCCCAGAACGATCGTGCTTTTATTGAGCATTGTGAGAGGGACCATTTGGGTTATCGTAGGGATTGTCAGACATGCCTCGCTCCAAGTGTGCGTTCACACCTTCATCTTCGTCAAAAGTACCAGCATCGCAATGCCTTCACTCTGAATGTTGATCTTCTTGGACCGTTGAAGCCCGGTGAGGATCAACTGGGGATCCTCTGACGTTCTAGCGCTGGGGTCGCCACCCACTTCAACACTGCCCTTCCGATCGCTCGGGTAAGCCCGTGAGCCCACTTAGCCCAAGACTGAGATTGGAGCATGCGATCCTGCAAGGTTGAGGCCTGGGTCTCCCCCAAACCATCCGAAAGATGTTTTCTTCCATGGAGCTCCAAGTACAGACCCCAGTCGTTTACAAGCAGTGTGGTGGGCTTCACCGTGGAGTGCCCCAGGGCCCCTTGAGAGAAAGACGCACGAAACATCCCCTTTTCTTGTTCCAGAAATTTGATTTCAGGCCACGCCCATAGACTCGCATGCTCAGCCCCGTCTTTCAGGTACTCTGCAGGATCCATTGGGTTTTCCAACACAAAACACACACCCTCTTCCGACGCTCCATGAGCCACATGATGCAGCAAAAACATACGGAAGTACATCACGGTATGTGCGTCTGTGGTCCTTTGCTCCCCCCGAGCCAATGGCGTGCCTTTGGTGAGCGTGCCAAATCTACCAGGTCCAGTCCTGTCCCGAAGAACTCTGGGACCACCATCCTGTTCCCCGCGCTCCCGCAATCGAGAATGTGGCGCAGGGTGGACCTCCCACCACGGCAATCACCTTCCCTGAACTGCACAATTCCAGCAAGTACTGATACAGTCCATCCGACAGGATATCCAGCCCGCGCTCAAGATCCACCGAGAGTACATACACAGAACTGGGCCACTGGCCAAAATCCTGTGACTCGTCCTTCCAGAAAACAAATGGAGAACCACCTTATCTGCCCTCTGATTGAAGGGAACATCCTCACCCTTCAAATCGTTCTGCCAAACGGGTGGAACCCTAGCCAGGATCCCCTTAGGACAATCAGGACTAAGTTTGTGCAACCACTCCAGCATGGCATCCACAGAAACGGGCGCATCCATCCCCTGTTGACCTACTCCCACAGCCATAGCCTTCAGCCTCAGCGCTCGCTGCATCACCATAGCTCTCTTGTCTTCTATCTCAGCAATCAACTCTTCAGTGATTTTGGCACAGAGCTCAGGGCATCGGTTTACCATCACGATGGACAGCTTCCCAAGCTTGGGATGGATTACGCGGCAGATCTCTCCCTCCCAGTTAACCTTGCAATCAAGTTCAGCCGCCAACACCCCCATCGGAACGATTGGAGCAACTGGCTCCACTGAGATAAGAGTGCCTACCGGAGTAAGCAACAAATCAGCATGCCCGAGAGCCAGAGACACCTGGGTGAGCGTGCACTGATCAATCTCCTCCTGACTCTTCGCGGTGCGCAGTGAGTTGGCAGCACCCCCATCTAAAAGACCACGAGCACCCTTAGGGGGTTCTTTGACCACCTTTGTGAGATAAAAGCCCTCCGACACACCGGGTGACGATTCCTCATGAGCGCTCAACGTGTCTTTGACAGGACTGTCCAATCCCGACCCACATGATTCCATATCCGAAACACGCGCCGCTGCGATCCTGAAACCCTTCAGCAGCCTAGTTGCTTCGGCAATCAAATCCTGAGACGACGCTTCTGCAGCCCTTGCAACCTTAGGATCCGCACCTCCCGAGCTGGAGCTAGCATTAGTGGTGGACTCCTCGGCTGTCACCTGTCTCACCTGAGACGCCTTTCCATCCCCCTTTGGCCCAGCATCTGGAACAGAGCCTTTTGGCCCACCTTTGCCAGCACCACCCGCGCATGAAGAAGAAGATCCTAACTCCCCCCGAGGAGCATCCTCGCCCTTTGCTCCACGCTTTCCTTGAGGCCTACTGCAAGCATCCGCCTTATGCTCTGTAGAACCACAGGTATAGCAACGTCCCTCAGCCCAAGCCTTCCCGAAATCATGATAGGACCAACAGGACCTGCCCATTTTACAACCACCCTTCATGGCATAGAATTTGCAAGGAGCCTTTGCGTTGTTCGCACCCGCATTGGAATTGGATGACCCCCCTTTTGACCTCCCTTACCCTGAGCAGCGGCTCCAGACTCAGGTCCAGGTGATGAAGCGGCATCCCCACCTCCCTTGGTTCCTGCCTTGGCAGCTGCCGTCTGCTCCTTACGCAGAGCGGCGGCCCTCTGTTTCTTTGTTTGCTTTGGGGCTTCCTCAAGCTCCACATCTGCACCAGAAAGTGCAAGCGTTTCCATTTCCGCCTGCAAAAGCCTGGCATAAGCCGTTACCGAAGTTACTGTGGGACAAAAGTCCAATTGATGCTGCGTCCTAGAAATATTGCACCGAAACTCCAGCTGAGGATTAGAGGAGATGACAGGTTGGCACAACTTATCCAGTCCCGCAAGAAGGATTGCAGGATCAGGAGGATTGACACCGAGATCCTGGGATCTGCTAAGCCATCTGTGCCATCTACGCAACTGGTCAGAACAATGGCGAGCATTTGCTGCAACCCCTGGCTCCTGTAAGTTGGAGATTAGCTTCTGCCTTTCCCCCAAACCTCCCGGCTGAAATGCCAGCAAAATCCGAAACACCGCATTAGTGCTCGTGAGAGCCTTGGTCACAACCAATTCATTCTTTGATGCGAGAAGGTAGACTTTCCAAAATCATGCCCAAAGCACGAGCTTCTAGGCGCGACAATCTAGAATCGAGAAGGTCAGGAGGAGTTTCGCAAACGACGAGAGATTTCTCCAGCGGACCCGCCTGCTGCCATTTCACATACGCCTTTTGGGCTACTTCCATGACCCTCTGCCACCAAGCCCAACTACGCTCCGAAAGATCACTCATTATCGGCTGAATCTGAGTCAACCAATCCGAAACAGCAATGCAAGCGTCCTCAGTACTTGGATCCGGTAAAGGCGGCAACTTCCACCATGTCCTATCTTTCGGTGTGAAAGCATTCCTACCCTCACCCCTCGGGGACGACGATCCGGGAACGGAGCCCATGCCCATCCCGGGGCCCAAGTTGCCCCCACCAGGGGCAGTGAACAACCCTCCTGAAGTCAAACCTGCGCCCTGATACCCAGAAAACCCTCCTGAACTCAATCCCGCGCCCAGACCTCCGTACGAGTCAAGTGGCTGCCTTCCGGCACCAACCGAACCCCTAGGACCTAAACCTTCTGAAGGAACTGAGCCCCAACCTGGAGGTCTCAATCCAACTGAACCCCAAAAGTCACCGTGCATCGCGCCCTGCACCGTC